GCATACATAGGCGTAAGTGACCAGGGTGGGCCAGATGCTTGCATTGTAGCCATGGTGATGACACAGGTATTCTGCCACACCCATGGTTTCTCAGGGCCTCTGGGCAGGGTGGGAAGGCAGCCTTGGAGCAGAAAGTTGGTGCTGGCAGCCAGGGAAAGGAAGGCCCATTCTAGCACAAATCTTCTATTCAATCTGCAAAAAAACAAGATAAAGAGAAGATCTTGAAAGAAGCTGAAAGGAAAGAACCTTACCTATTGATAGGAGCAAGGATAAGAATTACATCAGACTTCTCTTCAGAAAACATTCTTGTTTTCTTCAGAATGAAATACTTAGAGTGTTTAAAAAACTTAGCCTAAATATTGTGTTAAGAAAAAATATTCTTCAAAAGTAAAGAAAAAATAAAGATGTTCTCAGACAAAAAATAAATAAATAAATAAATAAATAAAATTTAAAGGAATTTATTTCTAATAAACTTGCCTTGCATGAAATGTTAAAAGAAGTTCTTCCAACAGAAGGACAATTATATAGATGCTTAGTGGTTTTTTAAAAATATTTTTATTGATTTTTTACAGAGAGGAAGAGAGAGGAATAGAGAGTTAGAAACATTGATGAGTGAGAACCATTGATCAGCCGCCTCCTACACACCCCCTCTTGGGGATGTGCCCACAACCAAGGTACATACCCTTGACCAGAATCAAACCCGGGACTTTTCAGTCCACAGGCCGAAGCTCTATCCACTGAACCAAACCAGCTTCAGCTCTTTTCATATGTTTATTGCCCATCTATATAATGTCTTCAGAGCTGAAAATTCAGGCAATTTGTCCATCTTTTAATTGAATTGCTTGATTTTTGGTATTGAGTTGAATTCTTTATACAATTTGAATATTAAGTCTTTATCAGCTGTAACATTGGCGAATATGTTCTCCCATTCAGTGAGTTGCTTTTTATTTTATTGATGGTTGCTTTTACTGTGAAAAAAAACACACAAACATTTTAGTTTGATGTAGTCCCATTTGTTTATTTTTTATTTTATTTCCCTTGCACAAGAAAATATATCTGAAAAGTAATGCCAGGAGATATGTCGGATATTTTACTGTCAATGTTTTCTTTTAGGATTTTTATGGTTTTAAGTGAAACCACTAACTCTAATGCAATTTGAGTTTATTCTTGTGTATGGTGTAATAAGGTGGTCTAGTTTCATTTTGGCACATATCTATACAATTTTTCCCCAGCACCATTTATGAAATACACAATCTTTACTGTATTGTATGTTCTTAACTCCTTTGTAAAAAAGTAATTAACTATGAAGAATTTGGTTTATGTTCCCTCTATTCCCATGTTATTGAGAGTTTTTTTTTTTTTTTTTTTTTTTTTTTTTTTTAAATATATTTTATTGATTTATTCACAGAGAGGAAGAGAGAGGGATAGAGAGTTAGAAACATCGATGAGAGAGAATCATCGATCAGCTGCCTCTTGCACACCCCTACTGGGGATGTGCCCGCAACCAGGTACATGCCCTTGCCCGGAATCGAACCTGGGACCTTTCAGTCCGCAGGCCGACGCTCTATCCACTGAGCCAAACCGGTCCCGGCATTGAGAGTTTTTATCAGAAATGGATGCTAAAAATTGTAAAACACTTTTTTTCTGCATCTATCGATATGATAATGTGGTTTTTATCATTCATTTTGTTTATGTGGTATGTCAAGTTTATTGATTTTCAGATATTGTACTAATAAATTCCACATGATCATGGTATATAATCTTTTAAATGTATTGCTGGAACCAGTTTGCTAACATTTTGTTGAGGATTTTAGCATCTACGTTCATTATGGATATTGACCTATAATTTTTTCTTTGTAGTGTCTGTATTTGGTTTTGAAGTTAGGATAATCCTGGCCTCATAAGAATAAATTGGGAGTCTTCATTCCACTTGAATTTTTTGGAACAGTTTGAGGAGGATATGTATTAATTCTTCTTTGAAGAATGTTTGATAAAGTTAACCTGTGAAAACTATCCAGTCTAGGTCTTTTGTTTGTTGGGAGATTTCTGATTACTGCTTCAATTTTACTAAATGTAATCTGTCTATTCAGATGATCCTATTCTTCCTGATTTGATTTTGGAAGATTGCATATTTCCTAGAATTTATCCATTTTGTCTAGGTTATCCAATTTCTTGGCATATAGTTCTTCATAATATTTTCATACTGTCATTTGTATTTTTTTGGTAGCAGTTGTTATTGCTCTTTCACTTCTGATTTTATTACTTTATTTCTCTCTTTTTTTCTTGTAAAGGTTCATCAATTTGGTTTATCTTTTCAAAAAACCAGGTCTTGTTTTCATTGATCTTTTGTATTATTTTTTTAGGCTCTATTTCAATTACTTGTGCTCTGTTCATTATTATTTTCTTTCTCCTACTCACTTTGGGCTCTGTTTGTTGTTCTTTTTCAAGTTCCTTTAATTGTAAAGTTAAATTGTTTATTTGAGATTTTTCTTGTTTCTTAAGGTTGGCTTATAATGTTATCAATTTCCCACTTAGAACTGCTTTTGCTGTAACCTGTAGATTTTGTATTGTTATGTTTTTATTTTTATTTGTCTCAAGGTATCTTTAGTTTTCTTTCTTGATATTGTTAACCCATTCATTCTTTAGTAACATGCCATATGCTTTTGTATGTTTTTCAGTTTTTTTATTCTGATTAATTTCTGGTTCCATAACTTTATGGTCAGAGAAGATGCTTGATATGATTTCAATATTCTTAAATTTATTGAGACTTCTTTTGTGTCCTAATGTACACTGAATGGCCAGATTATTATGATCTTTGAATGCATAATAATCTGGCCACTCAGTGTATCCTATATAGTAAAAGGCTAATATGCAAATTGTCCCCTCAACCAGAGTCCACTGGATCTGTAAAGAATAATTTCAATTTGGAATGGAAATTGAATAAGGAATCTTAAAAAGGCACTGGGAAGGTAAACATAAAATGCAGAGTGGGGCAAAAGTAGGTTTGCAGTTGTGAGTACTGAAAACAAAGAATTTTTTCTTCTACAGTTATTTATTAACTAGAAGCCTCAGTGCCCGAAATTTATGTATGGGGGGATGCCTGGCTTGCACCCTCTCCAATCTGGGACCCCTCGGGGAATGTTTGACTGCCAGTTTAAACCAGAAGTCAGACATCACTTTCACAATCCAGGAACACTAGCTCCTACTGTAATCATTTGCCTGCCTGTCTGCCTGATCACCCTTAACCACTCTGCCTGTCTGCCTGATCACCCCTAACCACTCTGCCTGTCTGCCTGATCACCCCTAACTGCCTCTGCCTGCCAGCCTGATCACTCCTAACTTACCCTGCTGCTGGCCTGATCGCCCCTAACTTGCTCCCCTGCTGGCTTGATCACCCCTAACTGCCTCTGCCTCAGCTCTGGCCTAAGCTGCAGTCTGGCCTCTCTCTGCGGAAGGCGACTTGGTGGATCAGGGAAGGACCCACCACCGTTACCCCACTGCTGCTGCCACTGCCAGCCTGAGCCTTGGCCCTTCGCAGCTGTGCAGCTTTGTTCAGAGGGGTGTCCCGGAACGTTGTCCGCCCTAATTATCATATTACCCTTTTATTAGTATAGATTATTGTATTATTTTCCATACAATACTATAAAACTACTTTTGTTCCACCCTGTATAAAAGACATGCTAAAATTTACTTAAGCATTTAAAGAACTTTTGGGGAAGATAAGATTATAATTTTAAATTATGGAGTTCTAATCAGTAGAGTTATGATAATTCCTTAGCAATTAGATAAAGAATATTTATTTAATTAAATATTGTATTTTTTTCTGACAACTAGCTTGTACAGCATTAGATAGAAAACAATTGGAAATAAGTGAGTCCTTCCTATTGGGGCATGTTAAAAGGGAAATCGGGAGGAATGTGTGGAAGCACACTGAAGAAGAAATTCCCACATGAAAGGGAATGGGCTTGCTGTTCTTAAGAAATCCTTTTAATTATATTGCAGGGAAAATCCGTACTTTTCCCGCTCAGCATCCCTTTCTACTTGTTTAGGCAATAGCATTCCAGTTTTACAGCACCATTGCTCAGTCTATGAAGTTTAGAGTCATGGCCCCTCCCTTAGCGTGAGGGGAGGCATATGACTCAGTCCAGGCCACCCAGAACACTGCCTCTCTCTGTCATAGTGATTAGCCCATGAGTGGACACACTGACCAATGACAACCCTCCTGGGGTTTAGGCCGGAATCACTAAGGAGGAGATGCTCCTGACCCCCTGAGATTATGAAGGCAGAATTCTGTAAATTAGTCCTTCTGCAACCATACCTTACAGAAGGACGACTAAGAATGCAGCTGGCACAGAGGAGAGGAAAGCTTGAGTCAGAGACAGGACACAGAGACTGTTCTGGTAACAGCTTTTAAACACTATCTCTACCCATTCCTCCCAGTTTAACGAGCCAATAAAACCCCCTTTCTTGTTTGAGTGGTTTGAGTCAGTTTTCTGTTAAATGCAGCCAAATTAGCCGTAATAACCTATATATGTTCTCTTCAAAACCACAGATACAGGGCAGCATTGTGGTTAAGTGCCAGAAACCAATCATTGTCTCACTAATAGAAAGAGGCTGGTCAACCTTGAAGCTCTGAAAGGTCAGAGCCAACCACACCCTATCTAATTGAGACAAGGGTAACTGAGGCAACTTTCCCATCTTATAATCATGTAAACCCTTACTGATATGTTAATCCATTTATTACCTGCCTAAGGGCTATGGGTGTATCCCAAAGCTGCTTAAGGGTGATGGGTGTATCCTATAGCCTCAATAAAAGGGAGAGCAAGGCCAGAGCCTAGCGGTAGTCTTCCCACTAGAGGTTGACTCCCACCTGGCCCCCAATTTGTCCCAAATTAACTCTTTTCTATTCTCTCTTCATTTTAGTGTTCGGCCTCCTCCAGAAACCGGACCCTGAGTGGGCCCTAATCACGCGGGTCGTGTTAAGGGTTCCCACAGTTAAGCTCGTGTGTGGCAGTGTGGCGGCGGCGGAAGAGTTTGGCGCGATGTCTCACACCATTTTGCTGGTACAGCTTACCAAGAGACCAGAAGGCAGAACTTATGCTGATTATGAATCAGTGAATAAGTGCATGGAAGGTGTTTGTAAAATGTATGAAGAACATCTGAAGAGAATGAATCCCAACAGCCACTCTATCGCATATGATTTCAGCCAGTTGTTTGACTTTATTGATGATTTGGCGGATCTCAGCTGTCTTGTTTACCGAGCTGATACCCAGACATACCAGCCTTATAACAAAGATTGGATTAAAGAGAAGATCTACGTGCTCTTTCGTTGACAGGCCCAACAGGCCGGGAAATAGTGTGTTGGAAGCATCTGGGAGCTGGGGGTGGGCTTGGAACACAAGTGTGTACAGCAGTCTGTATGAAGTTTTGTATTATAGTAATCCTGTTTCCATTTTGGTACACTCTAGCCAGGTTTGACTGTTAGATGATATGTGAGAATCTTGTTCAATCTGAACTCCCACCCCCCTTCTCTTTTTTTTTACTTAAACATTGTTATAATGACCTAGAAGGAAGTTTTTCTTTGTCAGTTAATGTTGACTCCAATCCTTCATATCTGCTTTATAACATTCTAACCCTTCTTCAGGTTGGGGTAGGGGGTAGTGACACAATTTAATTATGTGCTAAGATAAAGTCTTAGTGAAAAACAAATAAATGTTCTTTAGTTATAACCAAACAAACAAAACAAAACAAAACAAAAAAACAACACAGATACATTTTATGAAACAAAGTGTATGTGAAAATCTCTTCTCATTCTAGAGTATGAATGCCATTCATAAATATTGCAGGGCTAGCTAAATTCGGTACTCAAAAATATATGCCAGAGTTTAGTACACTTGTTAAAGCTAGATTACACATTTACCTTGAAGTGTTTCAGAAGCCAATCATAACAGAAGAAGAGCATTACTTACAACATCACCCAAAGACCAGTTGCAGAGTTTATATCTTACAGACAGCTCTCGGTGTGTCTCCTATGGGCCTTGGTGATGAGACCCCATTCTCACCAAGTTCCTAGGGTGAGAGCAATTAACACGCGTTGCCTGGGCCTCTCCACACTGCCCCTTAGTATCGACTGTGGGCATCACAGGAAAACAAAGGGAAAGAAAAGCTCATTTGTACGATGTCAAAACAACCAATGTATTTAATGTCTAATCACTGAGAAACAGTCAATAGCTCTGTCAATCTGGCTTCATTAAAGAGAAGAATTTATCAAATTTTGAAGACTGAATGGGTCATGTGTCCTTTAGACAGCATTTGCTGAGTGTCAGGGCCTCTGTATCTGGAAACGCAGGCTTATCCGTTCAAGTGGTTCACTGGTTCCTCAGGTGAGGGGTCAGCTCTGCTCAGTGAGCTGGAGGCCCTGGCAAAGGGCTCTATATCAGGAGGAAGGTGTGTTTTTTCCTCACTAACAGTGCAGTCTTCCCCTCAATAACCAAAACAACCTTTAGAAAGAACAAATTCGTAGGCTTCACAGTTCCTGATTTTAAAACTTATTACAAAGGTACAATAAACAAAACAGTGTGGTACTGGCATAAAGACAGACATAAAGTCCAGTAGAACAGAATGGAAAGCCCAGAAATAAACCCATGTGTATGTGGTCAAATGATTTTTTTTTTTTTTTTTTTTTTTTTTTTTTTTGTCAATAGCTTCTTACTGTTTAGTACAGTAGCTCCTATTTCTTTGTCCCTCAGGACACCCATGATAGATGGCAGTCATGTGACTGAAACACCATCATTGCACAGTCAGGGTTATGTACAACTTTTCACACCACAAAGGATTTAAGGCAGTTTATCAGAAAGTATCCTATCTAATAAAAAAGTAATATACAGATTGACCATCACTCCAACACAAAAGATCAAGATAGCTGCCCCCATGTGGTCAAAGATCCTGCCACCATGTGGACACAAGATGGCCACCACAAGATGGCCAGCAGGGGAGGGCAGTTGGGAGATACTAGGCCTGCAAGGGAGGGCAGTTGGAGGCAATCAACCCTGCAGGGGAGGGCAGTTAGGGGTGACCAGGATGATAAAGGAGGGAAGTTGGGGACAAATAGGCTGGCAGGGAAGCAGTTTGACATCAATCAGGCTGGCATGGGAGCAGTTAAACATCAATCTAACTGATGTCTAACTGCTCAGACAGGCAGTTGGCAGGCAGAAGTGGTTAGGGGCAATCAGGAAGGCAGGCAGGTGAGCAGTTGGGAGCCAGCAGTCCTGGATTGTGAGAGGGATCCCATATTAAATAGGGTTCATGCTGAACTGAGGGACACCACCCCTCCTGGTCTGTGCACAAATTTTGTGCACCAGGCCTCTAGTTGTAAATGATAGTCCTATATTCACTTGAAATGAATATATCTTCTGTTGCTTTAGGGTAAAATGCTGTAAAAATTTCAATTAAATCTTGGGTTAATCTGTCATTAAAGGCTGTTGTTTCACTCTTTATTTTCTGTCTGGAAGATCTATCACTTGATGAAAATGGGGTGCCAGAGTCCACTATTATGACTGTATTGCTATTGATCTCTCCCTTTGTGTCCATCAGATTTGCTTTATATACTTAAGTGCTCCTATGTTGGGTGTATAAATGTTTAGAAGGGTAATAATTGTTGGATTGAACCTTATCCTATCTAAGAAAAGAGTAATATGCAAATTGACCATCACTCCAACACACAAGATGGCCACCACAAGGTGGCTGGCAGGAGAGGGCAGTTGGGGAGGGGCAGCCCTGGTGGAGAGGACAGTTGGGGGGTGATCAGGCCTGTAAGGGAGGACAGTTTGGGGTGACCAGACCTGCAGTGGTAGACAGTTAGGGGCAACCAGGCCTGTAGGGGAGGGCAGTTGGGGGCGACCAGGTTGGCAGGGGAGTGGTTAGGGGATGATCAGTCTGGCTGGCAGGGAGGGCAATTAGGAGCAATCAGGCAGGCAAGCAGGTGGTCATTTGGGAGCTAGCAGTCCTAGATTGTGATAGGGATCCCAGATTGGGGAGAGTGTAGGCTGGACTTAGGGACACACACACACACAAAAACACACATACACACACATACCCCAGGCACAAATTTTGTGCACTGGGCCTCTAGTCCTATATAATAAAAGGTTAATATGCAAATAGACCAAATGGCAGAACAACCAAACAACAGAACCACCAATCACTATGTGGGCTGACCTCCAGGATGTGCATGTGGAACATAGCAGGGATTGGCAGCAGGCGGCAGAGCACAGAACATGGTGGATGTTGGCCACATCAGGATGGTAGACCAGGTGAATGGGGTCACCGGACCAAGGCGGGACACTGGTTCTGCCATCAGTGAGCCTCTGGTGATTACTGAAAATTCTTTGCTTGCTTGCTCTATGGTCTTGCCCAGTGCTCGCACCTGCTGCCATTGCTAGCCCTGCTGGTCCCAATAGCTCTGTGCCATCAGCATGTGGGAGTGGCAGCAGCAGATAGGGGACTGTGAGCCATAGTGGGAGGGTCTGAGTGGGGGCATGGAGGATGGGCAGAGACTCACCCCTGTGCCTACTGCAGCCACAGATCCTTTCAAGGTGCAGGAATTCATGCACTAGGCCCCTAGTATCATTATAAAATGTCATTCTTTGTTTCTTAATGTAGCCTTTGTTTTAAAGTCTATTTGATCAGATATAAACATTGCTACTCCAGGCTTTTTCTTTTCTATTTCTGTTTCATTGAAATATTTTTCCCCTTTTCTTTCAGTATGTGTGTCTTTTCATCTGAAGAGGATCTCTTGGAGATAGCATGTGTTTTTTAAATGAATTTATTCAGATACCCTATGTCTTTTGATTGAAGCATTTAATCCATTTATAGTTAAAGTGAGTATCCATAAGTATATAATTATTGCCATTTTATTATTCATATTTATGTTTTTCCCGTCTTCTTAAAGAAGTACCTTTAACATTTTTTGTAATACTGGTTTGGTAGTGATCATCTCCCTGAGCTTTTACTTGTCTGGGAAGCTCTTTATGTTTCGTTCAATTTTAAAATATATTTTATTGATTTTTTACAGAGAGGAAGGAAGAGAGATAGAGAGATAGAAACGTCGATGAGAAACATCGACCAGCTGCCTCCTGCACACCCCCTACTGGGGATGTGCCCTCAACCAATGTACATGCCCTTGACCGGAATCAAACCTGGGACCCTTTAGTCCGCAGACCGACGCTCTACCACTGAGCTAAACCAGTTTCGGCTATTTCGTTCAATTTTAAATAGCTTTGCTGGGAAGTAGGATCTTGTTTCTGTAAATAAGGCTATTTGGTCTTCACAGGGGGTGGAACAAAGAAACACACTTGCACAGGACTAAAAAAACAGCCCTGATATGCTGGGAACAGACAGCCTCCAAACTCTGGACCTCTGAGCCATGAAGTGCAGTCACAGTGATTTTGAAAATGTTCAGAGCATTTACAATCACCCACCATGACCATAACCTTGCAATAATTCACTCAAAAGTTATTAATTTTAAGCAATGCCATTCCTAATAAAATTTCTAAGATAAATTAGTTTGCAAAAATGTACATTCAAATAACTAAATGAGTTGACCTGCAAAGTCCAAGTGTTAGATATGAGCCAATTAAATGCTGGCAGGTGGCTGATTTGGAAGTCAGAGGAATTGATCTTAAATCATCCTTTTGGATTGAAATTAGATACAAGGCCCAGGGGACTGTTGGGGGTCACTAAATTTATGACTATTCAAGAAAGAATCATTATGGTTTATCTAAAAAAGGATTTGGTCCTTTTAAAGAGAAGGCAATACAGAACACATTCCTGTTTTATGACATCATAAAATATTTCATTGATAATATTTTAATAGAACCTGTTTGTTTCAGTGACATTGGATGGTGAATTTATAATTAAGCATTAATAATTAAGAATTTGATATTAAATGCCTCAATAAAAATTTATTATTGAAGGATACTGATTCTCTCTAATATTTTCATATATGTAGAACAATCCAATCAAATACAGCAAATGACTACTATAAAAAATAACTACTTAAAAAATTAGAATGCTACTAGCAAAGAAATTGTTATAGAAAAATAGTAATGAGGGAGAATCTTACTAACAGATGTTAGATCACTATAAAAGTTAGAAATAGACAAAAATGGTGATAGAGTTTATGTTAGTGTGAAGTTAAGTGAGAGGTAAAGATGGTGTGGTTACTTAGAAACCAGGATTAAATGGATAATCATTTGGAAAAGACAGAATAGATGTAGATCCCTATCTTGTGCCATATTTAATTCAAGTTGAGTAAAGATTTAAGTATAAAACATGAAAACATTGGAGAAATGTCTATTCAAGTCCTCTGCCCATTTTTAATTGGATTGCTTGTCTTGCTTGTTTTCTGGGTGTTAATTATATGAGTTTTTTTAAAAAAATAAATTTTGGATATTAACCCTTCATCAAATGTATCAATGGTGAATATCTCTTACCAATTGGTAGGCTGGATTTTCATTTAGTTGATGGTTTCTTTTGTTGTGCCCAAATTGTTTAGTTTGATGTTTATTTGTTTATATTTTCTTTTGTTTCAGTTGTCTGAGGAGACATAACAAAAATATTACTAAGATTAACATCATAGATTTTACTATGTTTTCTGCTATCAGTTTTATGTTTTTGTGTTTTACATTTACATTTTGAGTTATTCTTGTATGTGGTATAAGAATGTGGTCTAGTTTTATTTTTTGTGCATGTATAGATACAGTTTTCCTAATACCATATATTGAATAGGCTATTATTCCCCCATTCTATGTTCTTGCTTCCTTTATCATAGATTAATTGTTCACATAGGTGTGGATTTATTTCTGAGTTTTCTATTTTCCATTGATCTATGTGTATGTTTACACAATTGAAAAAATAAGATGTGGTACACATCTAGTATATGATGAAATATTACTTGGTCATAAAAAAGAATAAAATCTTACCATTTTATGGATGAATATACAGGGGATTATGCTAAGTGAACTATGTCAGACAGAAAAAGACAAATATCATATGATTTTACTTATGTAATCTAAAGAACAAAATAAGTAGACAAAACAGAAACAGATTCTTCAATACAGAGAACATCTGATAGTTACCAGATGGAAAATGGGATTGGCAGAATGGGGTGGAAAAAAAAGATATTAAGAAGTACAGATTGCCAAAACCGGTTTGGCTCAGCGGTAGAGCGTCCGTCTGCGGACTGAAGGGTCCCAGGTTCAATTCCGGTCAGGGGCATATACGTTGGTTGCGGGGACATCCCCGGTGGGTGGTGTGCAAGAGGCAGCTGGTTGATGATTCTCTCTCATCGACGTTTCTGGCTCTCTATCTCTCTCCCTTCCTCTCTGTAAAAAAATCAATAAAATATATTAAAAAAAAAAGAAGTACAAATTGATAGTTACAAAATAGTCGTGGGGATGTAAAATACAGCAAAAGGACAATTGCCAATAATTTTGTAACAACTATGTATGGAGCTAGATGTGTACTAGATTTATTGGGTGGATCACTTTGTAGATTTTATAAACATCTAACCACTATGCTGTATACCTGAAACTAATATAAAATAATATTTAATGTCAACTGTAATTAAAAAATAAAATAGAGCCCAGCTGTGTGGCTCAGAGGTTGAACATTGACCTATGAACCAGGAGGTCACAGTTTGATTCCTGGTCAGGTCATATACTCGGGGTTGGCAAACTCCATCCCCAGTAAGGGGCTTGCATGAGGCAGCCAATCAATGATTTTCACACATCATTGATGTTTCTATCCTTCTCTTCCTCTCCCTTCCTCTCTCTGAAATAAATAAAAACATAAAAATAAAATTTAAAAACCCACAACCTGAAAACATTATGTATAGAAACCATATAAATGAGTCTTTAAATAATTTTGATGAGAAGGTAGAATTTCTAAACAGAACCCAAGAAACACAGAACCCTCAGAGAGATAGCTTTGAAAACTCTTACATATAAAAATAAAGATCAGCACATATTTTCTTCAAAATATCCCAAGAAAGTAAAATAAACTATGATTAGGACAATAGAGATGCTTCCTTTAGTTGATATGTAGGGACAACAAATTGCTCAAGCAGAAAAGACTGATCCTTATCCTTTGATTTTAATTAATTTAGGTTATGTATTTAAAAAATTTTAAAAAATACATCTACTTCTCCCCAGTGCCCTACTAAAAAATCTCCAGAGTATCAAACCAAACAAACAGACAAACAAACAAAATGATACTTGTCACTTAAAAAATTAAAAATCAAACAAATTTATATCAAATTCTTGGTTTAATGCAAAAATGAAAATTGAAGTTAAGAAAGATCAACAATTAGAGCACTAAACAGCTACATCCATTGGCTGGAGCCAGTGCAGCACTGCCAGGGATATTTCATGACTTTCAAAGCGTGTAGTATGTCAGAATGAAATATAAAAGTCAGAGCATAGTTTTTGTTTCTTTTTCTCCATGCAATTAATAAAAGCAAAAGGGAATGCATCCATTAAAGTACTGGGGGCACAATGGTTTGGGTAGGGTGCGCCATCAACTGATGCGGAGATTCAGAAAATGTTGAAAAGAAATGGGAGAACCCATTATATGAAAAAGAGGAGAAACCAAAAACCAGAACCTGGCCACAGAAGGGGCTGCAGAGGAGGTGGGAAACCTCTTGTTCTAGAAAGTGTCCAGGGAACCCCAAGCTCTCAGTGCCCTGATTGTTTCTAGGGACCCACAGCTAACCTGTCCCCTCTCTCCAGCACACACAGTTTTAATTCTTCCTCCACCTCCAATCACAGAAGGAATAGTTAGCTGTCTAGCATTTTCTAGCTGACAAACCAAAAGACTAAATCTGAGAGTTCTTTTAAGAAAAATGCAAAGACTTGAAAATTAGGATATAGGCGTTGGCACCCCTTTAGGGGCCTCTCTGTGCACACCTCACTGGGGATGTCATTTCAGAGAATGAAGAACAAAGATGCATCTGAGAGACTCAGTGCTCCCCAAGATTGTTTGAAATGAAGATCAGAATAAATTGGCTTGAACACAGATTATTGTTTTCCAAAATCACTAGCAGTCAGTGCTCATGTAGAAGGCCAGTTGAGCTATAGACAAAAACAAGAAGTAATCTGAGATAAAATATGTGAGCCTGCTACATCTCAAATCATTCATTTAGATGATTTCTTCTTAACATCTTCACACAGACTTCTGAGCACCCATCTCCACAGACTAGTGCCCCTACAATTTATGGCTTCCAGTTTCTATTGGGCAATCAAAACTTGTCTGCCTTGTGTTTTTTTTTCTTCCCTCTAGCGATATTAGAAGATGTCACTCTCCTTCCAATAAATCATTGATCACCACCCTCCTGTCCTAGGCTAACACCTCCTCTTAGATTCTCATCCTTTCAAATCATGACTTACACAGGAACAAAGCTTTTTCCTGGACTCCTCTTAATGTGCCCCTTTCCAGATCCAGGCCTGTGTGTTTCACAGGGGCAGGATCTGCCTTGACTCCCTGTTTCTCCCCAGTTATCTGTGTACTGGTTAAGCAAGGCTGGAAGAGATGGCAAACACGAAAGGACCAAAGTGTCCAAATAGCCTGAGCTGAAAGTAGACACAGTCCACTTACTACAAAAGGTGGAGTTCTGGGACTTGCCCCAAGCCTGCTTCCTTTCAACCAGATGGCTGTTGAATGGCACTAAGGGGTACGGAGAATGGAGGATGTGTTTCCCTCAGAAAACTTCATGTTGGCTCCATTGCACCTTCAGTAAGATGATGGGCAGCCTGTACTCAGCTTCTGGCTCCTTTGTTTTTCCGAAGGAGGCATTTTCCTGGGATAAGCAAACTGGCCTTCAAAAAATTGTTGAAGAGGCACCTTTGCCTGGATCTGTTTCTAGTATCATAATTTGAATTTGAAAGAGTAAATTTACTAAAAGCAAGAGCTTGGCTTGCCGAGGTTAAGTTATAATAAGAGGGCAGATGAGACTACCATGGATAGTTACTTGGGTTTATCTATAGAGCAGTTAATGAAAACATCAGACCTGAGTCCTAGGGGATGGGGCAAAGGAGGTGAGAGCCAGGCCACAAAGCTTCGAGTGGGACTCACAGCATAGAAATGGAAAGTCCCATTATCTGTGCCGATGGAACTGTCCTATAGTCACACTAATACAGTAGCCAGTACCTACACAAGGCTATTGAGTTTGTGAAATGTGAACAGGGCAGTGCTAAAGGACTTTTTGATATGAAATTTTTTAATAGATGAGAGAAAATTAAACAAAAATTTGGTGCATGTATACTTGATATATAACCCATAATCTTATTCATAGGCAAACAACCACAAAAAAGCACCCTGAACAAGACTTGTGGGCCAATCAAGTGTTATTGGTATATTTCACGGTGAATATACCTGCATGGCCGTTGAGCTGTAGCTGAAGGACAGCCTAGAGGAGAGCCAGGAAGAGGCAGTGTGACTGTGGCTTTAGAAGAGATGGTACACAGAGAACACTCAGGGGACAAAACAGCGTGGCAGTGCTGATGGAGAACAGCCTGGAATGTTAAAGTCAGACATGCTCCTTTCTTCATGTCCAATTGTTACTAGAGAATCAAACTATTCTGTTGCTCCTGGGAGTAGGGTTTTTATGATATCTTTTAGAAAATGATTTTTTAAGACTTGCTTGGGAGGGTGAATGGTTTTTAAGGGTGTGGAATTATATTTCTTGGGTTGTAAAGTCTCATGGCCCTTAACACAGTCCTGAGAAAGGTGCATCTGGGTTCCAGTAGAATCAAAAGCAGGTCCAGTGTCCAGAGCTTCTACTCCATGCTACAGCCAGGTCCATACAGTTAGTCCAGATTCAGTCCATTCATCCATCGTGTGGAGTCTACATGGCTGTGGGCCACTTGGACAAATGGAGGAGAATGCACCCTCTGCATCAGGAGCCCCAAAATAGCTAGAGGGCCAAGAGCCAAGGGCCAAGAGAACAAACATCTTTTGCTCAGAAGTTTAAGTATTCAGGTTCCCCACCCTTGTAGTAGCCATGCCTATTCTGGCCAGTTACCTGTTCCCAGATGTGATTGACAGATAGGTAAGCACTTTCCCATGTGACTCAGACCTTATGGGGCATGTGTCTAAACTGCCTTTGTTCAATCCCTTCCCCCAATGATCAGGGGGGAACAGACTTGGTTAATGTTAAATTACAGCTTTCTAGCAAATCTGTATAAATGGCATGCTTATATTATCCAGTCTTCCCTGGATTCCTTTCCTGTTAAATAATAATCAGATTATTGCAGTGGTATCACAACGTCTTTCCTAATCATTGAGGTGTCTGGGGGTTGGAGAACACAACAAATGTATAGAGTGGCAAATTCCAAATATTGAAAGTCAACCAGGAAAGCTTTTCTAAACTCTTCTCCAATCCAATGGGCCACAGAGAGAGAAGATATATGGTAATCAGTGTCCAGGACCACAGAACTAGGGGCTCCAGAGCATGGGAGGAAGGTAGGCAAGAGACCTGGAGACGTCTTCTGTGCGGCTAGCCTGCCATATAAAATCCATTCCTTTATTTCATTATCAGTTAATATTTATATACTTCTTAGTGCAAGGGATACAGGAATAAACAGAAGAGACATTATACTTGACATCAATGAGCTAAAATTCCACCAGGGAAGACAAATGTTAAGTACATAATCATACTAAGAGTTAATAAATCCCAATTGTATTGGCCGCTATGAAGGAATATGACTGGCAAAGGGGACCTACTTGTGAAGGGGAGTTGGGTAGGGCTGTACCAAAGCCTCTGTTAAGAAATCATATTTTAGCCGCTACCTGAAATGTATTATTCTACTGAAATGTCCAGAAGGATAAAAGAGAAGAACATTCCAGGAGAGAAAATCATTTGGGGATCTGAAAGACCAGTGTGATCAGAGATGGTAGATAATGAGTTAGCTATAGGCATGGGGTAGTCACAGAGGGCCTGGAGCACATTCCAGGATGTTGGCATTTTATCTTACGGGGTTTGAGGTAGGCTTTTTCCCTGAAAACTCACATATGCTCCAAGAATCTGCAAGGTCATTTGGGTGGCCCACATTCTCTTCTCCAGGCACGACTGCATGTGGAAGGGATGGTGGAGAGGTTGGCTAGGATTTGGGCAAGTGCACTATGGGATAGCAAAGGTGTCCATCTGTTCTGACCAATTTTGACACTAAAAAAACT